AGGAGGTTAGATGAGATTGCCATATAGAAGATAATTTGCATAAGGCTTATGGGTTTAGTCTTGGGCGTTGGCCTGTCTTATGTTACAGGCCGGCTTGATCAATCTGATTCAGGACTTGAGCTAGTCCACCTTGATCCTGCAAGGATCATCATCTGTTATCACTGATAACAGGTCGGTTGCCGATTCGTCGGTTCGCGAATCAATTCCTACTCGCTCCCCATACTCAACCTAAAAGGCTTTAGCTCTGGTGATCTTCTTGTTTGTTAAGGGTTTCACCCAGACTTTTATTGAATGACCTTTTAACAGAGGTTCTGAGTATTTATTTAAGGTTGGTTGGCTGGAGGTTGGGGCTTGCATGGCTAAAGCGAGGGGTATAAGTATAAGAACTAGTTGGAGTTGACTCCGTATAGTGTGTGGACTCTTGACTGACTTTTGATGTGATTGCATGTATGTTCAGAGACTTGGGGTTTTGGTTGGGCAGCCTTGCCGTCGCGTATATATGTATGGTTAGAAGGAGACCCACTATGACTGTGAGAAGTGATCGTCACATAATTATCCCCCTCGTGTATATGTATGTGCGAGTGTATGTGTACCTACGCGAGGAATTAGCGCGGCCTGAAGTGCCCGCGCAGTAAGGGTCTCGAGTCTAACACGAGAGGGGTTTTTTCTGTAATAAACGGTAAAAGTGCTCGTTTCCCTTCCTTGTTGCGATTTATCTTGGTGGAACGATAAAGTTCCGGGCGGAAGGGCTAGCGTGTCGCTGGTGATGCGCCAGACAACTCACCACTGCTCCAAACCCCTTCCTGCCCTAGGGGCCGTCTTGCCCCGCACCCGTTGGGACACCTCAGGGTGCAGAAGGCGGGAAGGTCCTCAGGTCGGTTTTGCGCCAGCTAAAGGGCAACCCCCTTTTGCTCGCACGTTAGCCAACGCCTGAGCGTTGAAGGTGACCCCTTTGGCTCAGAATAGGCCATTTGGGTGTGGGCACTACATAATGCGTCGCCATCACAGTTACTCGTGTAAAGCTGCATAGCGAGATAGTATGTGTAAGTTCAGCGCCCTCGCGATCTTATACTTAGTTCGCGCTCGACACTCGTCGCATCCCGCACTAAAAGAGTAATGGGTCAGGCGGCGAGACCACTAGCGCGATACGGCCAGTAAACTTGGGGTTTTGGTAACTTGAAGCGGCACGTGGGCGGAGGACTAGCCCCGGTCAGCCTATGGGAGTCCGTGTACGGGCCTCATTATCCCGGACGCCGGGTAGCTTATGGGTAGGATTCCGGACCTCCTCCGCGCTCGCGTCATTTGGGTTTACCCACCCCCTTCCATTTTAGAAGGCCATCAGCTAAATGGGGGTTGGAGTGAGTTTCGTTTTTGCGTTTTCATGGTTGGACGTTATAGTCCGTGGCGGCCGTCAAAGTCAAACCCCTTGATGTTCGACTGCCACGACAGCTTAAAGCTGTCTACTCAACCCCTCTACACAGGGTGCAGAAGAGGGTGTGGTCTTCAACCGCGCATGACAGTTGTCCAACGTCGAGAGATTAACCCTCAAGGCGCGTGTCAGCCGACACTTGAGTGTCGAATACGACCCTCGAGATTAAGTGTGGGTACCATATAGTACGCCATCACTACGACCGCTTATGCAAGTTTGCATCGCGAGTCAAATGTGAGTAGACCTGCGTCTGCGCGATTTTTATATTAAAGTCTCGCGCGCGACGCCCACTCGATTTCTGCGTCGAAGGGTTATGGGACGACTACTGAGGGGCTAGGGGCGTCGTCGCGTTGTTTGTGCCATGTCGTTCTGTGTGCGTATGTGTGTGCGTGCATTCCCTTTGTGTTCGTAGAGTAGTGTATGCGTGGTAAGTGGGATACGTCCTAGCCGACCGGCGACGAACCGCCCTTGGGACTTCAGCCCCCCAAGGTGTCGGTCCGCGTGTGGGTCCGATAGGCATGCTACCGCGCGTACCCCCTATGCTATAGCGAACGAGAAACGCCCTCGCTGGTCCACCTCTGCGATTGCAATTGAGTAGCTTTCGTATTGTGGACTGGTAGCTCGGCGGGGATACGCCCACTGAAGGGAGGTGACAACTCCCGTAAGGTGGAGGTAAGTTGTGCCTCGCGTAGGCCCTATCCTGTCGTAGGGGCTCGCGAGAGGTATGGCTGGCGCACTCGGCCGGAGCAGCCTAAGGAAGCTCCATGTGTGTGTTCGTGACGAGGTTGGTCCAACTCCTGCGTGACACGACCGAGAGGGTCCCGCGCTGCCACGAGCGGTGTCAGACCGATGCGCTCGACAGGTGGCGCCGTTGCCGAGGATAACGAAAGCCTACCGTTGTTCCTGGTGGAACGACATCCGGGTACAAGTGAGAAAATAGGCATAAGAGAATGATAAGTGTGATCGAAGTAAAAAGTAAGTGATGAGGGACTTAGTATAAAAAGGGAAAGTTAGCACCCGTATATATGTATTTGATTGAGCTGCCCGGTCCTAGCAAGAGCATAAAGGGTGACAATACTCACGAGAAGGGTGTGGCTAGGTGGGAGGCGCGGGCTAGCCCAGGTTGGAGTAGGATGCTAAGTAGGTGAGTGCCTTTGGCTTTCTCTTAACAGGAAATTGGAAAAGGAGGCCTGCCAAGATGCATGAGGGTGGTGACGCTGGAAAGGTCCTGACCATCGAGGATCTCATCGCAGCCCTAGATCGATACGAGAGGACCCCGAGTAACGTTCCGAAGGTTGAGACCTTCCTTTTCGATGGGGAGAGGGTCTCRGATTGGCTAGATTTGGTGGAGCAGKCAATGGTGGGACTGTCAGATGAGGTSAAATTYCAACGCGTTATGAGGTATGTGCTCCATAGGCACCACCAGGAAGTGSAGAAGGTTGTGGACGCYGCCCATGRCAGCTGGGCAAGATTCAAGGAGAACATGCTGCGCAAGTATCGGTTGGGTGATGGGTTGCTTACCATCCAAGATCTTGAGGGGATGAACAAGGATGACTTTACCACGATAGGGGCCTTCGTACAAGAGTTTAAGAAGAAGGCGAGGAAAGTTCACAGGATCTCTGAGGAAAGGCAGCGCGCTATCTTTTTGGGGCTGCTCACTGGGTCAGAGGTGGCCGAACTGACGAGCCATGGAGCAGGCAGCGCAAAGCTTACCTGGGCCACCATCAACAGAGGAGTGGAGGATGGGAGTTTGGACCAGGTAGAGCAGCATCAGATGCGCCTGCAAAGGAGGAAAAGAAAGGAAAGGGACGCTACTGCATCAGGGACCCTGGGGGTGAAGAGGATTATCACTGATGTACTTGCGGCATTAGGCTATGGCCAGGATGTCAAGGCGCAGAGAAAGGCGGTAGCCGTGGTCCAAGGCCGAGGAAAAGAGGTGGGGGATGAAGGCGTCGGGCAAGAGGATTACGGTGGGGAGAAGACGGGGTCACAAATCCTTACCAAGGGCCAGCGGAAGCAACGCAATCTGTTGCAGGGTGGCCAAGGGTCTGGCAAAGGACAGGCCCCCCAGGCAGTCGCTGCACCACCAGTAGCCGCTGTAACCGCGCCCATATCGACAGGGCGGGCGCCAATGGGGCCACCCCCGGCCTGCGGACATTGGGTACCACATTGTCAAGCGGCACCCTGGCCTAGCTATAGCCATTGTACCTTGTGTGGAGGGGGCCAAACCCATACTGGACAGATGGTTTCATTCTCGGGTCCGTCAACAAGTACAGGGCCGCCAAGTTTCCCGGCGACGCAAATCCAATTCACGGCCCAGCCTCCCCCCTCACAGCAAACATTGCAGGCTAGTGTGGTTCGAGGAGGAGGCCAAGGGCAAGGAGGACAGGGCAATAGTGGTCGGGGACAAGGAGGCCGAGGGGGTGGCGGACGAGGCCGAAATGGAGGAGGACGTGGCGGCAGATGGAGCAACCAAGGGGGCCAGGGCCAAGGAGACCAAGGTAGTCAGCAAGGAGGCCAAGGGTATGGGAGACCCCGCTTCGACTGGCGGAACGCAACCTGCTGGCATTRTGGTATTGTAGGCCACACGATTCGGTTATGCCAGCAACGGCGGGATGATGAGCTTGCGGGCCTGATTTCCTCTTGTATGGATGGGGATATATACGACAAGTGGGGGGAGCACATTGACCCCAGGACCCCGGGAGGGATCAGGCAGGAAGCCCTCAAGCGGGCGGCGGCAGGGCCATCGACCGCCCCGGCCATGTTTAGACTGTGGCAGGAGAGAGAAGACCCGGCCAAAAGGATCGAAAAGATCACGGGGGATAGTGAGGAGGTTACGCAACGATTAAAGGTCGGGGCCATAAAGGAAGAACCGATAATTGTTGAGTCACACGACAAGGAGAGAGAGGATGATGGGAAGCCGACCGTAACCACCCTGGAAAGGATGGAGGATTTGATGGAAAAAATAGGGAGGTATCAGCGGAAGCTGAAAGAGTTATGCGATGAAGTCCGAGGGTGGAGAGCCGACCTACCAAAGGTCTTCCTCTACGGGACAGGGCCGGGGCCGGCGGCTGGACAGCAGAGTAGCCCCGGGGTTGCCGTGGCGAGGTCTGGCCCCAAGTCAGGAATGATGTTAAGGCGCCCACCCCGCACGGGCGGGCACTGCAAGCAACCCAAACCAGGAGCCAAAGTAAGGCGGACCCTAGTCAGCCACCAAGCCAAGCGCCAAGTCAGGCACCTCCACAGAAGAGACCTGAGCCTGAACGTAGAAAGGAGGTGGTGGAGGTCCAGGAAGAAGAAGAAGAGGATGACGACATGGAGGATGAGAGAGTCCGTCAGGAAGAGGATCGACGGACGGAGCAGAGAGCGCAGAGAAAAGAGGCGCAGGAGAGAGTCGAGCCAGGTCTACAGGATGGTGTGCCCAGGAAAAGAAAGTACACCGTCAGGTTGGAGTAGGACTTTGACGTGGAAAGGATGGTGGACCGGTTCCTTGAAGGTCATAACGACCTTATGAACTTAAAGGATATTCTGGCATCTGCACCAAGACTCCGGGAAGAGTTGAAGGGGCGATTGTCTCGAAGGTTGGTGCCCAACGTGCATTTGAGCGCCGTCCTGCCCAGGGAAGTGGGATGGACACAAGCTGGGATGAGGATGGACTGGAAGTGCGTGGTATGCAGACTGGTGGACTTGGTAATAAAAAAGAAAAAGTGCATGGCGATGATGGATACGGGCGCTGAAATGAATATCATTAGGGAAAGAGATGCGCTCATGCTCGGGATGGAGATCGACCGTGCAAATCACGGTGTGCTGCACGGGGCTAATTGCAAAGCAGTTTTCTGCGGCACAGCGTCGAATGTGATCATAGAAATTGGCAAGGTGTGAGCAAGGACGTGCTTTTTCGTCATGCCAGATGTGGACCATCCCATCCTTCTGGGCAGATCATTCATATGCAGGACGGAGACCCTGATCTTCAACAAGCACGACGGAACGATGATATTGCTCCTGAGTGATTCAGCCTGTGGGAACTACGAAGCAGTCACCTGCCGGAACACGGGGCCAAAGAGCGAACGGAATAGGCCTAACCCCGGCTGGTTCACCTATGTGGAATTGGAGAACGAGCGGCAGAGGCTCGCGGAGGAATCCGAGGAGGAAGGTGGGGCAGAGGTGCTGTCACTAAGCCTTACAGACGTAAGCAAGGCTATGAAGATCGTAATGGCACATGAGATGGCGGACCCGAAGGCCATCAAGGCCTTGCGAGAGCATGTTTTGGAATGCCCGCAGGCAGGAGAGGTGGAGCTTATCTATCGGCTTCCCAGAGGAAGAAAGGGGTCTGCAATGGCGCAAGCGCAAACAACAAGCTGACCTTTTTTAGGGGACGGCTCAAGCAGGGCGCCCAAGGGCGGTACAAAACGGTAGATAAGAAGTGTCGCCCTGTTCCCGTGCTCGTTACGGAAGATGAAGAGGCCTATTACGAGCGGGAGCGAGGATTGATATGGCGAATGCAAGAGCAGGCGTTGAGGGATCCATGCCGTATCAATGATGGAAATGAAGGAGAGTTAATAGTCGGAGAGCCATGTTTTCTCTCGCCTCAGGAAAGGATGCTGATGGTGCAGCTGATGAAGAAAAGGCATCGCGCATACGCCTTTAATGACGACCAGCGTGGGAGGCTGGATGTAGACAGGATCCCGATGATCCGGATCCACACAGTTCCCCACGAGCCCTGAAACTTGAGGGGTGCGCGATACCCAAACCCTGATGAGGAGAAGATGGTGGTGGATTATCTGGATGGTAAGATGCGCACGCATGTTGCCGGCTACTCTAGTGGTCCGTATGCTTCCCTTTGGTTCTGCTTTATTAAGCCAAACGGGACGCTACAGTGGGTACAGGATTTGCAGCGGCTGAACGCAGTAACGGTGCGAGATGCGGGAGGCTTGCCAAACGCAGATGCACTGTCAGAGTCATGCGCGGGGAGGCCTATAATTTCACTTATAGACCTCTACTCCGGGTATGATCAATTCCCTGTATACCCGCCCGATAGGCTAGTGACGGCAATGCACACGCCAAGGGGGCTAATCAACATGAATGTGGCTCCTCAAGGTTGGACAAATGCAGTGGCGATGGTGCAAAGACATATGATCAGGGTCATGCAAACAGTCAGCCCGCACATCACCCAGCCCTACATCGACGACTTGGCGGTTAAAGGGCCAAAAGAGAGAGAGGAGGACGAGGTGCAGCCCGGAGTGCGACGCTTTGTTTGGAGGCATATCCTGGATCTTTATCTAGTCTTGGGTATGCTAGAGGAGCACAACCTCACTGCAAGCGGGCCAAAATCCAAGCACTGTATGAGAGAATCGACCATCCTAGGGTTTGTCTGCAACGAGAAGGGCCGAAAGCCAGATGTGAAGAAGACAGACAAGATCTTAGAATGACCGGTGCCTTTCCAGACCATAACGGATGTGAGAAGCTTTCTTGGCACTTGCGGATTTTGGAGAAGCTTCGTGAAAGACTTCGTCGCCAAGACCGAACATCTAAGGAAGCTGGTGCGCCAGGACCAGGAGTGGGTTTGGGGCGAAGACCAGGAAGAAGCGGTAGCCAGGATGAAGGGAGAGTTTATGGAAGGAGGGTTGGTGCTAGGGGCGCCAAATTATGAAGGAACTGAAGAAAAGTCGTTCATCATTGAGACAGACGCTGGGCCAACTGCATTAGGAGGGGTTTTGATCCAAGCGGATGTCGAAGGAAAGGAAAGGCCGCTAAGATTCGAAAGTCGCACTCTTAATACGACTGAGAGGAATTACTCTCAGTTCAAGAAGGAGACGCTCGCGGTACTCCATTGTCTAAGGGTCTTCCGGAATTATGTCTTCGGCAGGAGATTTATATTGAGGGTAGAACCTACGGCGCTGACATGTTCTTTGAAAAATTATACACCATCTGACCCAACCGTCGCTCGATGGTTGACATACATTTGGATGTTTAATTTTGAGTTGGAAAGGATTCCGGGGAACAAGAATAGATCTGACGGCCTGAGCCGCGTCAACTGGGACAGTGCAGATCAGGGGTCGATCGAAGACACCCCGCCAGTTGACGGGTTTCTGGATCAAGAAGAAGATGTGCGACTCCATATAAATAAATGGGCGCTGCGAGTACCTAGTTGTGTTAGCTATCCCATTTGGATAGCACGAAGAGGGTATGAGCGGAAGGCCGACTTAGTCTTTAAGCCATTTTAGGAAGAAGACCCGTGGGGAGGCAAGGACACCCAGTGGATGATGAAGTTGGCGATGGCAGGGACACATGGCTTGGTGGAAGAGGTAAGGACAATAGAGGAAGGGCCTATTCAGGTAGAGGAGCATGAGCAGTTAATGGGAGGGATGTATCTGCTCACTAATACACTCCTGCAAGGGGATTTCGACCGGAGAGGCGCATTTAGTCATGAGGAGGATGAAATCCTGATTCCGGAAAGTCAGGATGACGAGTTCGAAGAAGGGGAGATTAAGAAGGCATTCCCGGCAGAGGAATACGACGGGATCTATCTCGAGCTGGGCCTACTTATATCCTGTGAGATGAGGGACAGGGATGCTAGCGACAAAGCACAGAAGTTGAGGCACCTCTACGTGGTGAGAGATGGGCATTTGTTCATAAAGCGGCAAGTTGGGAGTCCCAAGCGGATTGTGTGCGGGAGGAACCGACAATTAGACATCATAGTGGCATTACATGATGGTATAGCAGGTGGGCACAGAGGGGTGAGTGCCACATGCGCAAAGATAAGCAAGCTCTACCATTGGGATGGAATGCTGACGATGATCATCAAGTACTGCCGATCTTGTATACCTTGCCAGGAAAGGTCAGCGCAAAGGCCGGGAGAGCCCCTGCACCCAAGGTTGGAAAGGGAAGTGGGTGCGGTTGTACACCTGGACCTGCTGTTTATGCCAATGGGGGAAAATGGGTGCAACTACATCTTCGATGCACGCGACAATCTCACCGGGTTTGTAGACTGGCGGGCTATCCGAACGAAGACCGACCCAGTTTTGGCAAGTTGCATCGAGGAGTATTATGTGCGCTATCCTTTCGTCAAGGAGTTCGTGATGGACCGGGGGTCAGAGTTTACCTGCAATGAGGTGCGGACTTTGCTTGCCGGATATGGAGTAGTGGCCAACTACACTACGGTCGCGCACCCCCAAGCGAACGCTCTCCTGTGGAAAGGGGGCACAGTACCATCACGAACCTCTTGGCTAAATGGACAGAGGGCAAACCTGGTCAGTGGCCGAAATTCCTGCGAGCGGCTTTTTTCGTGGAGAATATTACGGTGACGAGGACTCAAGTATGCGCCAGCCACGCTATGGTATGGGAGGCATGCCACCTGCCCTATAGAAAACTTTATGAAAACGTGGAGGCGCCAGAACTTGGAAGTTAACCTGTCCTTCTAGGAGCTGCTCGATATCCGGGCGCGGCAAGTGGGAGCGGCCGAGGAAAGATTGCGAGAGGCCGCTGGTCAGGTAAAGAGAAGTCGCATGGAGGATAAGATGAAGTGGGATCAAATGGCGCGAGTGCGGAAAGATCCCTTGGCAGTGGGAGATAGTGTGTTATTATACGACTCATCCCTGGAAAAGCAGTGGTCACGAAAACTTGACAAAAGATGGTTGGGGCCCTACAGGATTGTGAGATGCGCCGAGTTTGGGGCGTACCAGATCGAAGAGTTAAACGGCACGGAATGGAAAGATTGGGTATCTGGGACAAGGCTAAAGAAGTTCGTGGCCAGGGAATAGGTAAAGCCGCAACCCCTCCCAGTAACTGCGATCCCTCCCAGAATAGACCCTCGTCCTAAGTATTGCATGCCATGATTGAAAGCGAAGAAAAGCTTGATATGTCTGAAAATTGGGTGTATATTTGCTCTGAGGACTGCTGAAACCATATGCTGATCCTGTTGTGTGCTTGTCTGTTTCGTTTCGTCTGATGTGCAGGTCTGACTTCTTGAAGGCAGCCATGCAGAGGGGCGGGCGGGGCACGCGGCCACGACAGAGACCTCTCGGGGCATCCGGAGGGGAGGAGCAGCATGGGCCCTTCAGGAGAGAGCTTACACCCGTGTTTGATGACGACAATATCGAGCTTTTCCTGGACGCCTACCGAGAGCATGCAGCCCGGACAGGATGGGACGTGTCTGAGAGGGTACGTCATTTGAGGGGAATTGGGAGGTTTGAGGAGCCCATTGCGTAGATCAGAGAGGAGGCCCTGACGTGGTCGGAGGTAGAGGCAAGGATGCAGAGACTGAGAGCTTCACCTTTGGGAAATGATGGGCTGCCTATCCGCTTGGAGGAAGGGAACGTGGAGGAATTCATCCCGGCATACGAACGGTATATGAGTGATCAGAGGGTTCCGAGGGATAAGTGGGGCTGCGCCTTTGGACCAGAGAGGCGGAGCGTCCGCTAGCAAGACAAATCCAGAGGCGGGCACAAGATTGTGAGGATTGTCGGGCTCAGCTGAGGGTGGCGTTTCGGCAACCGGAACTAGAGAGGCCAGAACCAAGGGTTGATAGAAGGCGGCGAAGCAAGAGGTTAAGGGATTTGGAGGCAAGAAAGCCGGTAACGTCGAGAGGTGGCCGGAAGGCCCTGGCACAACGGGAAGGAGGACAAGCAGGGCCGACTAGGGCAAGCGAGTCCTTCCCTGCTTGTGGCCTCAGGCAGGTGGAGTTCCACCAAGTTACAGAGGATGACCTACTGGGGCCCTCGCCACAGGCACCAGAGCAGAGGGAGAGCGAGGTACCAGCAGCGCCTTTCAGGAGTCTGGAGGCCCACTTAGACGCGTCCCAGTGGGAGGCCCCTTCAACAGGAGAGAGCCCTACGGACCCATCAGGAGGGGAGCAGACTCGCCTAGAGCCTGAGGCGGAGCCACTCAGATTGAAGGGGGTAGTTGAAGAAGATGTCATTGTGGTGGAAGGTGACACTCCCCTTTACTCCCCAGCTCGAGCTTAGACACGGCGGTCCTGGCCAGAGGGCGTCGCGGAGCCAGACAGCCAGGAGGCCCCAGTACCACCACCGGAGGCCACTATGTCACCCAGGCAGGAGGTTGAGGCGAGAGGGCCAGTGGAGGGGTGGAGGACGGAGCCCCGCCTGATTATCGACTCACGCTTAGCCACGCACGCAGCCGAGCACCCTGACATTGAGGAGCCCAGCCTGGTAGGGCCATCATCGGGGCCAGCAGGTACTGAGCTAGGAGAGGGTTTGCTGGTTGCGACTGGGGAGGTAGCGGAGGCAGGCACAGGAAAGGAGCCAGACGAAGCCGCCCGGGCAAACCGTGCTAGGGTACGAGCTCGCCTTGAGGAGATACATGAGCGCAGGGACAGAATTTAGGCTGCAGGGATAGCGCCAATACCACCAGTCGCCCCAAAGACAAGTGAAGAGAGGATTGACGAGTTATGGGCCAGGTATGAGGGACAGAGAGAGGCAGCTCGCCAGAGGGCACGAGAGGCGGGCCAGGCGATTGAGGGTGCCGACGAGGCGATAGAGGTTGGGGAATTGGGGTTTTCTGCTGCCAGGGAGGCCATCAAATAGGTAGACAAGGGGATAAAGCAGACATCCATTGAGGCCTTTCACAGGTACTCCCTGCTTAGTGACGAGTTGGCTCTCAGGAAAGATAAGGTGGAACAGCTGACTGCCCAACTCGCAGAGGAGAGAGCCGAGAACAAGGCCAGGCAAGCTCGCCTGGAGGCAAAGGAGGCTGAGTGGGAGGCGAAACTCAAGGAAATGGCGGCTGCAGTAGAAAAACTTACCGCCACCAAGGTAATCGACTGGACTGAGCAGAGCAGGTATGGCATCCAAGGCAAGGAGGTGCAAGGGCTGTTTGGCCAAGAGGAGGCCGCAGAGGCATCTCGACAGGAGAAGTTGGGGAAGGTATTTATGGACCCAGCTGAGGCAGAGGCAAGGAAGGAAGCCAACAAGGAAAGCTTTGAGTTCAAGGCTCCCACTGATCTGGCTTCACAGCAGGAGGCCGCTACTTCAGCAGATGCTCCTAAGGAGGTGCTGACCCAAGAACCCCAACCTGCATCAGTAGGAGAGGGGGAGGCAGAGGAGTCACTGGCAATCCTTCTAGACGTACAGGAGGGGACACTCACTGGAGCGGTGGGGTCTCCACAGCCGGAGGCACAAGGGGAGGAGCCATCACGCTTGGACGAGTTGGTTGCTGCCATGGAAGTGGATATGCCGCGAGAGAGGCCTCAGGGGCTGGAGGCCCCAGAGCACGAGCCAAAGTTGGAAGAGTTGACGGTACAGCTGGGCTCGTGGGCCACTGGGACCGACTCGGGAGGACCGACTACTGAGCAGCGGCAGCAAGAGGCCACGAGCCAGCCTACTAGAGCCACTACTCCCCAGGCTCCAGGGTCCAGAGAGGGGGAGGAGGAAACCATATTGGAGGTAACCCTCGAGGGCCGGCCACTGAGATTGAATACCCCTGATTACCAACCCGAGAGAGAGATGCAGTAGGGGGAGTCAAGTGCCCAGGGAATCGAAGGGGGAGCTGAAGGACCGTGGCACCTGCCTCAGAGTCATGAAGTGGGCAGAGAGACAAGAGGAACGCCTCCGTCGCCAAAGACCCAGAAAAAGAAGAAGAAATTTCAAAGGAAATTTGGGGCTATGTGTTTCTATTTTCTGGACGGAGTGCATAGGGCCCTGGACTGTCCTAAATTCCTTAAGGACAAGGCTGAGGGGCGGGTTACTGAAGAAGGTGGCAAGATGTATGATAGACAGGGCCGAGTGGTAGAGAGAGCTCCGGATGGGGGTCGAGCCCAGTTGTATAGGCAAAACCAGGAGGAGATGAGTGAGTGAGAAGCTGGTTCGCCTATACGCCAGTAGCAGTGAGGTGTTTTCTGTACATAAAAAGAGTAAAGTCAAGGGCATAGGGTATCACGAGTCAGATACATGTATCTTAGGTGTTATATGCGATAAAGGACCAATGTACAATAAGGTTTTGAGGTTTTTTTCGCATTGGGATCTAAAGACTGAGACTTAGCTGTGTGATACTTAGGACACCTAGTTGTATTGCGTTTTGTTTTGAGATTAGAGTCTACCTATGGGTGATGTGAGAGTCAGTAACATCTAGGGTATGAGCCCATTGGATATGAGAGAGGGGCAGGACATTTGAGAGTTGATGTTGAGATTTGAGAGACATTCTATTGTTGAGTGTATAACTGAGCGAGGTCTTGAGACTACCCCCTGTGTATGACGGTCACTCTCGCTCTCACATGTGTGGCTTTCTGATGTATGATAATTTGTGTGGGATTTGTGTGACAAACAACTCATATGCTTATGCCTTGTGAGTAAATATAAAACTGTCTACTCTTCGGTATACTCTCGCAATCTGCCTGGGAGCAGATGTTAGAGCCGAGTATAAGGAGAGGGAGCGCAGTTTGTTTTTGTGAAACAAGTTGCAAAAACCCAAAGCGGGCCTATGAGTCCTTGGGACTCGAAAGCTTATCATGCCAAATGTTTAAGTATCTAAATGGTATTAGGGACCCATAAGTTGGCCCCTTGTGTTGTACTGTTGCCATGATTAAATTGTACACTATGAACTATTTGGGAGACTTATCTTCAAAAAAGGAAGATGTTTTACACAGGTCATGTGAGGACCCATCCTAAGGAAGAAAGGGATGGTTGACAGACCTATTGAGTGAAACCTCCCCTATAGGGAGGATGATTAATGTACATGATGGCATGAAAAGCTGGGTTGGTAAGATGAAAGACTGGCGAAAGGAACCATATTTTACTGGCCACTCGGTGAAAATTCTTGAGAATGTCGCAAAAATGTTTGCTTTTGAGGGGTGCCCTTGAGATGTGTGACCCTCTTACCCTGATCAAGTTAGGGAGTCACGGCCTGGTAGTTCTGGCGGTGCCTTATGGTTGTGAATGTGGAGAGGTTGCCATGTCCTCGCTGTGTTGTCCCGTAGAGAGCTGGTAAAAGCCTGTCATGTGTGGCAAGCCTATGCGCAGTCCCGCAGTAGGCCTGTAATTGCTGCGACGCACCGTCCATCCACTCGTGCTAACCTCAAGGCACATAAGGAAGACCAAGCTAAACGGTAAAGTTTTAACACCGCTAGGGCGTAACACCTAGGGATGGCCGCGGATCGGCACAACCTGGCTGCGGGCCCACGTCTGAACGCGGGAGTAAAGGCTTAAAGGGTGTGGCCGCCCTGGAAGGTTTTACCCCTGTGGAACGGCCTGGGATAGGAGTCGGGTTATATGAGTCTTTTTGGGAAGTCCTGATTGAATACTTATCAGGAGAAAGCCTATCGTGGCGCAACCTGCGAGGGCACTGCCGCTAAAATAACAACGCGGTAGGCCGTATATCTGACCTAATCAACCAGACTATGGTGGGTCAAGATGGAGACCTAGCACTTCCGTACAAGACTCCGGGAGCCGCTGAGAGAGGGTTAAGGACGGACATAACTATATGTCTAATTGTGGGAGGTTTCTTGAGAGAAAGGCAAAAGGCCTTCAAAGGTTTCAATCAAAGCCTGCGCCCCCACTATGACCCTGCTTATCAGGAAAGGGCTGGGGACACCCAACGAGAGGCCGACGCTTGTCTAGGACAGAGGGGCGAGGATGGGTATGAGGGCCTTTTGGAACTTATGCTGTAGTACTAATGCGTAGTACACCGGCGTCCTAGTGTCAGGACAATGGAGACCCAGGTTGAAACCCTGGCAGCATACAGTTATATGGGCATGGACCGCTGGGGGCCTCGAACCTGAGTCTGTCGGCCGATTGGATTGGTTCCTTCTCGTCAGCATTTTTGATGTGCGGATGGATTGATAGTTTTTTTATCTTGCGAAGCGACGGGGACGTCGCTTAATATAGTCCGGTAGGCTGTCGGCGCGAATACCCTGGCAAGGGTATTCGCCCTGGGTTTTTGCAAGTGACAGCGGGGCCGACGGTCCGGGCCTGTGTGTTCAAAACGACTACCTGTGTATGGACCAAGGTTGTGTAAGAAGGTAGGATCAGTGGGCGCGCAGTTTCAAGGCGCGCGTGTGATTTTCCCTTTTGATTGTGCCACTGACGAAGACGTCCGGCTTGACCTCGCGCCCTTGATTAAGCCAAGGGTTAGTAGGCCAACCCTTAGTCGCCCTGTCTAACCGGCGGCAAGGTCTGTAGGTGGGGTGGTCCCTCGGGATGGCATAGGTTGCGCAACGGCCGTGCACTCGTCTATAGGCAGGGGTGAGCCTTCAGGCGTGCGCCAGCCTTAGGCGCCAGGGTGTACCACTTCATGTGGGAATCAGTGCCTGTTGATCCCAGGTTGGGGCTTAGCCCTATGGGTAACGGTATAGGGTTACTACCAGGGAGGTTCGTAGATCAAGGCCAGCAGGTGGAAATACGGGAGCAGCGGAGCAACGGAGCGGCGAGGCGAGGGCCGAGGGGTAGAGGGCCACCAAGGCTATCCCCCTCAGCTTTGGCTGACAGGGGCGGCGGCGGGCCCGGCCTACGGGGAGACCCGATGGGATAGACTGTACTTTTTTTTTTTTTTTTTTTTTTTTTTTTTTTTTTTTTTTTTTTTTTTTTTCTTTCCGTTTATCATAGGGACGAAGGGGGCAGTGCGCCACAGGCAGTACCACGAGGGGAGTCCTTCGGGACATCCGTTAAAATTCGAACGATACATAGAAGATTAGCATGACCCCTGCGCGAGGGTGATATGCATAAGTCGAGGAGGCACCTCGGCGTTCTCCACCTTTTTTTCTTTAGTTTTCGTTTTTGTTGTCTGCTTGTTGGGCGTCGGCGTAGTACGAGCAGGCGCTGACGGGGGTGCACTGTTACTAAGACGGATTGGAGGAGTGGGCCGGGCTGTGCTAGCATCAGGGAGGAAGAGGACTGAGCTCGACCCAAGACCGACTGAACCCGGTCGACGGAAGGGGCCGGGTGCATGCGCAGTGGTCAAGGGAGAAGTGGGTAATGGTGGAAGAATCAAGATAGTGGCGGGCGCCAGGTGCACTCAGAACTGGTGATGGTGGGGTGGTGAGCCAGGGCGCAGCAGGGAAGAAGGAGTGAGCCGACGGGGTGGCAAAGGCGGACAAACGAACCTGGGCAGAGGGCCGCATCCGGTGCATTCAGCACGAGGAGAGAACGAATCCGGGGGACCTGCCGCGCCGGATACATTCGGGGTGGTGAGCGGCTGATGCATGCTAAGAAGGGAGGAGCGATTGTTGTTGAGCGTTGCGCCGGGCCGGATAAGAAGCGGAGGTAAGGGGGGGTGAACCTGGGCGTGATACTGGACTAGGTGCATACGGAGTGGAAGAACGGGCATGGCGGGCAGAGAGTGAGAGATCTCACTCGATTCTCAGCAGAATCGAGTGAAACAAAGTAGTAAACATGGGTTTTAGCCTAGGACGGAGGTGATGGCGATGTTAGTTTTAGGAGAAGAAGTGTAGAAAGAAGGGTTAGTAGGAAAAGACGTGCGCGGGCTATGGCGGGAGGATGAGTGGCGGGAGTAGAAGTTCTGTATCTCACTCAATCCTCGATGGATTCGAGTGAGATAAAGTGTTAAACAGGGGTTTCCTGAGGCCGTGAGTTGAATGACGCAGTCGGAACTGGCGGTGGGATAGTGAATAGGTTGGCGCGCGAGAAATAGGCTGCGCGAGCTATGGTGGGGAGGAGAAGGTAACGAGGGAGGAATCGAGATTTCACTCGATTCTCGATGGAATTAAGTGAAAGGAGATGTTAGACTAGTGTTTTTGGACCGGGGGAGTCAGTTTGTGGAATTAGATTTGGAGTAAAGTTAGTAGAAGTAGAGTTAGTAGAAGAAAGCACCGCGAGGAGGAGTGGGACAGTTTCTGAAAAACACAGTGAATGAACCTACCCGCTTTTTAGCGAAAGGTTCACTCCCATTTCGAAGTCCTCCTGTCCGCATGATTGACGAGCCGGGTGACGAGCGGGAGTAGTCGGTGTGGATGTGAGGGAAAAAGGAAAAGAAAAGGTTAGAATAGGAAGAAGAGTTAGTATGTGAGAAGCTAGACGAGAGAGAGGTTCCGCAGAGGTCGCATGAAAAAGAGGGGGGATATTTGTCTGATTTCGTGAGCTCGGGACAATTGCGTTGGTTTTCGTAGAAGTCGCAGGCTTGGTTCCTTCACTGGTTTGTTGTGAGTTAATGTTTACACGGTGCGCTACGTACTCGACAACGCGGCTTCCTCCCGCTAGGAAGAGAGACTTACCTCGTAGGAGACCGCCGGTTCGGGACGTGCGTGTTGCCTATAGGTGATGACGGGCAATTGTCGGAGTGACTGTCGGGCCCAGTGTAAGGTGGGAGCCAACAGCTGCGAGGGACCGAGGGTCCGAGTCGTACCTGTTGGCCGATACATATCTTCAGAACAGCCGGTCGGCCTTGCCTCTCCCAGCTATCAAGGCAGCAACGGGATCATGGGCCCACAGATGAGCCATGCACTTCGATAGGCGAAACCAGTAGCATATCCACAGCGGCAACGGACTGTGTTCTCAGCAGGTATACAAGGACAGCTGTTGAAAGGCAGGGCTGCAAGCGTGGTATCCACACAACAGACTGT